AAAATTTGCAAGGTTAAGTGACGGCATGGAAAGCCTTCCAGTTAGTAGCAATACATTTTCTCGGAAACAACAAGGCAGACAACTACAGGTTGTTGGTGGAAAACCTCCTCAAGGCATAGAAAAGCCTTGTTGCAACATGTCACTAAAGATACATTTTTTACACTCTCATCTAGATTTTTTTTCCACCAAACTGCAGAGCAGTGAGCGACGAGCGCGGCGAGCAATTTCACCAGGGCATTGCAACAATGAAGAAACGCTATCAGGGCAAATGGAGCCCATCAATGCTTGCAGACTATTGCTGGACAGTGATAAGAGATGCTCCATTTAATGAATACAAGAGACAAGCCAAGAAGCGCCGAGTAGACACTGAATAGGACTAAACTACGTACATAATAGTTTTTTGCCTTTTGTTTCATAATAAATTTTATTTATATAACCCTTTTGCTGATTTTTAAAGTGTTACATAAACAGGACAGGTGAAATATTACCATGTAAAGCAACCATAAACACATGAAAAGACCTAGGTTTACAATTTATGATTAAAACTCTATCTACACAATATACATAGACATAAAATGTAAAAACTTAAATATCTTAGAAACAGTAGCCAATCGGTTGTTTTAATTGTCATATTTGAATTCAGCACATCAAAATACATAATAAATAGCACATTTTATCTCTGAAGCAGATGACTTCTCAAAAATTGTAGAGCAGTGTTATTGGTTATGCCTTATTTTAGCACTTTAGCATTCTGTGTGCTGTTTTTTTTTGGTTCTCTTTTCAAATGCATTTTTTCTTCAGAGGTGCTTCTGAAATGGCACTTAAGATGATGGGGGAATCTAATATTACTGTAGTTCTCCTAGCTGAGTTGTATTTGCCATTTCTGCCATCCTACAATAAAGGTTACCATTGAAGCTCTCTCAAGGCAAGAATTGAGTTCTGTAAAATAAGTTCCTGTCTGGTCCTTTTCTATATAGTTTGAGTTACCAAATTTTACTTTATGTTGAAAATGTGGTCAGAATTCAGTTTCTATTAATCAAATTCTCTTATGGGTTTACTAAGGGACTTGATGAATTTTATTTCTCACCTTTTAGCAGATGACAGCTCAAGTTCACAGTTGAATCTGCCTAGTAATGCTACCTCAGCTTCTTTCAGGGTTTATTCTGAAGGTCAAATGAAAATGTTGGCTTTAATTATTTGTATTTCCATTATAAACTTAGATAACCTTGCAGTGCGCACACACATGCAGCATCACTTTATTTTGCTTGCTGTGTGCATCATTAGATCATATACTGCTCCACCAGAAGTTGTGTGGGTGAAATAGAGAAGCTAAAAAGGTTTAATTAACCTTTCTTCTTTAGCAGATGTTCAAGGCCCACTGCAACCAACCAGTCACTACCTCCTCAGGCAAGTAGAAACTACAGTAGATGAAGAGACATTACCTGGCAAGTTACCGGAGACTCCTCTCAGGACAGAGCCTCCATCATCTTATAAGGTAATTGTTTAAAATACTTATGGTGTCCATCTTAAGTCCCAGTTAAAACGGAATCAGAACTTTCTCTAATTTTGTGTTTAGCACTGGAAATGGATAAGAGCAAGTGAGAAATCTAGAAGAAAATAACAGCAGTTAGGGGGAGTGCTGTTGACAAGACTGGACAATTAAGTTTGTGTTGATTAGCATAGTGCTAATGTTACAGAATCTTAGTCTCTCCTTCTTTGGAATCAAGCAGAAAGCAGTAAATTTTCCACCTTAATCCATGGCTAGGAAAGGAAGCCAGACACCCCTTCTCCTCCCCCCTCTCCCTCCAACCATGATTCAGTAAGTTGTGCATTGCAACACGAAGGCCATCCACATGCCATTTCAGCAAACATATGGTGCCTTTCTAGAGGCTATGAAAGCTATTCTAGGGATTTTTTTTTTTTTTAAGAAGCATGTGATTGAGTTTTGTTCTCAAAACTCCATCTCTTGGAGGGGCTTTTTTCTACATACCAAAAAAAAAAAAAACACGATACATTGACTTTGTTGCAAAGGCTATTTTAATTCTCAGCCCTGTTTTACTTGAAATTGCAACTTTTCCAGCTGCCATTTTGTTGAGGATACATTGTCTTATATGATAAGAATGTAGTAATTGCTGTTGCATGATACTAGTGATCCATCTGGTCCCATCTCCTGTTTGAGAGTGGCCAGTACCAGATGCTTCAAAAGGAAAGTGTATACTTCTCTAGTATACAACTGAGAAATAACCCACCCATAGTGGAAGTTTCTTCCTAATCTTCCACTTGGTTTATACTCTGAGAAATGGTGTTTACCCTTCTAAAATTGTTTAACATATCTCATGTAACAGTTATTAGTCAGAAGTATTTAGACATCCATATAAGCTCTGACCTTTCTGTCTTGTGACAGAGTTTCATAATGTGTGTTGTAAAGTAGTTCCTTTCCATTTTAAAATCAGTTGCCATTCAGTTTCAGTTCATATCCCCTTGTTTTTGTATTCTAGAGGAAAAGGTCAAAAAAGATCATTAGAGATGCTAGAACTTTGCTTCTGGTGGCCTGGAAAACTTTATTCTGTTCAAATGCCGACTTTCTTCCTACTACTTCTTCTCTTACAGTTGTCAGATAGGAAGCCCACCTACTCTTTGAAAAGTAGACTAGCCAGTTTGACTACAGCAAGAGCAAAGACCGCTGAAAGGAATGAATAGTTCCTTCAGAGGAGGGACTTTCCAGTACCCAGCACTCTATTTCACATCTCGGCATACTTGGGTTTTTCTTTGCTGTGTAGACATACCCTGTGGCTGGCCTGTGCCAGCAGGCTCAGGCGCTGTTTTATTTGGTGTGTGGACTCCTGGAAGTCTACACAGCAATGAAACAGCCCCGCAGCCTGAGGCTGAGTTGGCTGGCAGGGGCCAGCCATGGATTTTTCTTTGCTGGGTAGACATACCCTTAGAGGCCAGCAACAATCACACACACACATTCTGTTCAGTACTCTCCTCACCTGGGAGTATAGTTACAGCTACAATGCTCCTGTTTTAGAGACTGTTGCAATCAGATACAAAAAGCGAGCACAGTGAAAACGAAACACTACCTGCAAGTCACCGCTGCAGCAGGTTAATGCCTGGCATTGTTTGATAGTTGAAAAAATCACCAGGGTTCTCCTCCAAACATTCTACCTTCTTGTGCTCTATCAGGCAGCCCTTAAAGGTGCTTCATAGCCAATATAATGTTGTTGCTGCATCACCAGTAACCCTTTCCCTGCTACACACTGCAATGGGAAATGCTATTCTGGTCCTAAGTAGCATGTGTAATCTACATCTAAGCTTCACTATAGCCTTGCCTCCGGATACTCTGTGGATCTCAGCTCCCCACCCAAAAATGGGATCTCCTCTCATATGGCTCTGCTAAGGTTGTATTTCAGATTTGCATGTGTCAGATTTTCCTGAGCAGGGAGACTGTCAATTAGTGATATGTAAAGCAGTGTATGAACTGTATTATACATTTAAAACAGAGCTAATGCATCTTGTAGAGATTCACCAGTAGCTAGACTGCACTCGTTTCTGAAATATGTCTATTTTAACATGTTTGTTGGTTTCAGGTCATGTGCCAGTGGGTGGAATACTTGAGAAAAGAGCTGTGCGGGTTCTGGCTTAAATCTTTTCCTGTGTTCTTTAAGCTGATGGAAGTCATTGGGACTGGAGTTGTAGGAGCAGCTCTAGTTTTAGGAATCTTAAAAGTGCTTTTCCCTTCCTGCGAACACAAGTGAGTAATTCTTGCATACTCCCAAAAAAAGCTATGGTTGTAGTCATAAGACTGTCTCCTTTCATTGACCAGTCTCATGATGTGGAGAGTCTGCTACCACTCCACAAAAAGGCAGTCATTAGCTTTCCACTGTAAGTGATTTCTTATAAAGAAGTTTGAAAAAAACAGGTCAGTGCCACCTATTAAATTGTTAATGCATGATCACCATTTCACATGCGTAGCAGCAGCTCTCTGAAGACAATCTGTGAGGGGTAGGCTCTCTCTATAGCATTCATCTCAGGAACAGAAAGGCCAAATATCTGAAGCTCTGCAATGGCAGTGTAGTCAAACAAGGTTAAGAGCCATACATTCTGTTTCTATCCTAACTTTGCCACACAACCTGGCTTTAGCAATAACGCTACACTTTCAGTCAAGGACAGTGAAGTGCTTTGAAAACACAGGCTTTGTCACAGCTTTTAGTGACACGGCCATGTCACTAAAAGTCAGGCAGTGTAAATGCTGTTTGTCTGCACTTTTGCTGACAAAAATACTTCCACCCCCTATGAGCAGGGTTCATGTTGACAGGGGAGCACTCCTGCTACCAAGGAGCAGAGCCATTTACACTGCTACTTGCCTCAGCAAAAATGTTGTTGGGGAGAAGAAGGGGAGCCTTTTTAAGCACCTGTGAACGACAAAAGTGGTGTCTTTCAATTGGCAGTGTAGACAAAGCCTAAATCATGTGAGTCAATTATATACACCTTCTCTTTCCATCTGGTGACAATTTACCTCCCTTTTTCATAAGAGTGGGGGGTGAATTAGTGTGTGTAATGCTCTGACAATGGAGAGCATTAATTGCAGCTTGGTAGAGTAAAGTGCAGTCATCAGTTCCTATATCCCAGCTATGCTGCCTTGAGTAAGAAGCACAGCAGCTCAGTGAGTAAGGCATGGCGTGTATACTTACTTCCAACACCGTTAAGACAACATACCTCAGAGTTTTAACATACTGAAAATAAAATGCCAGGCCACCATGAAGATGGAGTTAAAACTGAAAATGTCTCAAATCTGAGCCACAGTGGACTTGTCTGTGCCAAAATTAGCTGAAGTCTTCAGCTGTAATAAATTATATAAAGCAGTGTAAGCAATAAAGCCAGCCAGGCAGGAGTGAGAGGCCTCAAGGTGCTTGACAGCCCTTCTGGGTTTGGGGAGTAAAGAGTTTGCAAACTGAAAAGGTATATACTTAAAGTGCCCTTTACCAAGGCATCTGCCCTGCTGTCACCTCCTGCCATCTTCACTTCACACCAAGCACCATGTTAAAGCCAGAGCAATTCATCTACCATCAGAGTAGGGAAACAGCAACACTTATTGGATCTGACTACTTCCATGCAACAAGCAAGTGGCTTGTTTAAACTAGGTAGAACTAGAAAAAGGCTAATTATACAGCCTGACAATGAGAGCAAAGTACTGATTTGTAAGTAAGTGGTCAAAAACAGTGGTGGACATAGGCTATAATTCCTTAACTTTCCACTGAAAAGCATACATGTGGCTTAATCACTCCTGGCCACTGTTCCAACAGGTGGGGTCTATGCTGACAGAGTTTGATAGGTAATTTTTCAATTGCAGGCTACCTTTTATGGATTAAAGAAATCACCTTCGAACGAGACACGTGGCAGGTCTGATTTTAGTGGAGGGGATATCAAGCAGCTGGGGAACACTCATCCTGTAATTGAACAGCAGAGCTCTCTATTGTAAAAGCAGGTGTCTTGTCAACAATATGTCCAGTCATTGACCAGCACTTTAGCTTAGCATGAATATAGCTCCTGGTGGAAGATGATTTGAAAGCAGCTTAAACAATTAAGTTTTAATATCTGTGAGGTAGGAACTGAATGGTATGCTGATATTTTAGATTGGAAACAAGCTTACATGATGTGCCAAAAAAGTATCAAAGCAACTTTCCTCAAGCCTCAATACATATGCTGCCTCTTCATTTAATAGATAATAAACTAAGTCTGCACTTACTTCATATGTTGATTTACAATGAAAAAATTATTCTCAAAACCGAGCTACCCTTTTCTAATGTTAAGTAATGTGTCTTTCAGAGGAGTCCTTCACCTGGAGGATATCAGCACTGCACCTGTGGTTGTGATAAAGGTCTCTTCAGATATTCCAGAGAAGACAGACAATTTAGTGGAGAAATGATGTACTCAATATCATGTTTGCGTCTGAATCTTTGTACAAATCTTCAGTGGACCTGAAATTTGGCACTTGAACTTTAATACCTTATTTGTTTCCTATTCTGAAAATAGTATGTCAACTGATTTGTGTTTAAAGGGACATTTCAAGGTTGAGGCCCAAAATGATCTCCCCTCTTTCCATAGCCTCTTGCTCCTAAGGAACAACAGCTTCCCATTATGAGGGTTGTGACAGGTTTTAACTTCTTTAAAATACTCTCCCAGCAGCTAGGATAGGAAATTGGCCTTTGTATTCATAGATAAGGTAGTTAGGTAATGAAATACAGAATGTGATAATCTTCAATCATCTCAAGCATGGGCTAAAGGAACAGAAGGAAGAGATTACACATGTGCCTGCAAGCCAAAACAAAGCTGGTCAACCTGGTTTTAGACCTATTACGCTTGACTGTGCCTTGTAAAAACAACAAATGTTCTTATTATTAAAATAAGGCGTTACTATATATGTAAAACAAGGTATTAAGGCAATTTTTGATATTTCAAGCACTTTATTCGATACAATTTTCAGTAGGGAAGGGGCTTAATATGAAATTGTGTAAGCCACTTATAGATGACTTGTTTACTATGCTTTTTGTATATCTTGTGGTATTGTGTAAAGTTTTTCAGAAACAAGAATACAAATGTCTTACAAGACATCAGTTTACTATCTTGAGTAGAGGAGGCATAGTTTTCCCACAAATGTTCATATAAATTAACATTTAACTTGTTTACTCTGCATATAAAAATATACTGAAAGGAAATCAAACTGTAGAGAAGTGGCTTGCAAGAATACATTAACCGAAGAAAAAAACAGGCTGGATTTTTAGCTTTCCATTTGTATTCCCTAACTAGTAGGAATATTACAAGAAAGATAACCTCCCTAGAGAGTCATGTGTGGTCTTGCTTTAAAACTGAGGGCAGTGGGCCTTAGAATAGTTGATCTTTGGCCCTACTTTAAAGTTTAAATTTTTTAAAGTAAAATTCCTGTATATGATAAATTGGCACACGCCTAAACAGGGGAAGTAGTTATCCCACTTTAGGAGAAGGCCACTCTTAAGAATTTTAAAGCAGGACTTCTCTAAAAGTCTAGGACATATACTCACTTGTACATCTCCTGAATAGTAAGCTTCTTTTAGAACACAGATTCCTTCCTTGACCAAGTTATCTGCCAGTAATCAGTTTACAATTCATTTATTTTTAATAGAAAGTGTGCCAGATCTGGTTAATGTCTTAGTCTCCACTTTCTGAAGACAATTGCAACACTTGTAGACTGCAACCCTGACGCAGCAGCAGTGCTGGCAAAATAGTCTGGTATTAATCAGAGTTGTACAGCATATCTAAGGAAATGCTTTTCCCAATGCATCTCAAGTTTAATTTATTAACGGTTACAAGTTTCAGAGTTTTTGCACCTTAGTCTTGTCACAATTTCTTTTAACAGATGCAGGAACATTTAGATGGCAAAATTTGCTAAAGATGAATGGGCACCACTGTTTAGTGAATCTTCTTCTTCTTGTGTTGAGATTCACAGTATCAGGAACTAACAAGCACAAAGATGACCAGCTTCTGGGCTAGTGAAAGAGTTCATAGGAGATCCCCCTGGTGAACAAATCCCAATATTCAATTAAAACAAAACGAAAACCAAAGAACATTTGATTGATGACATTCATATCTTTGAAAGGAACGTAGATAAAGGGAGACTTGTTCTGAGTATATTCAAATAAGAGGCAGAAGTGACATGCAATTTAAAAAATTACTTTATTCAGAATCATGTTGCTCTTAAGTTTAAGAAAGTTAAAAAAATAGCACTTAGTGCACATGAACGCTACCTTTCATTACTTCTGAAGCTGTTTTAAGACAGGTTTCCTGGGGAAGTTTGGTTAGGAAGACTTAGCATGATCCAAATTCAACAATCCATTTTTCATATTTCTCAATGTCCGCAGCAGATACCGATTTAGAAACCTTTTTTAAAGCCATTTCAAAATCCTCCATAGTTGTAGGCATGTGCATTTCATCCCTGGAAAGATTTCTGATTTCTTCTGGTGTCAAGCCCTCAATTCGCCTTCTCATAGCCATCAGTGATGCATCCCTATACGATGAGAGGAAACAACTCATTAATATGGACATTTAATTAATTTAAAGACTAACTTTGCAGCCTTTTAAGCAAGTCACCACATTCCAATTGGGAAAACTAAAAATTAACTTTCAGTCTAACTTCTGATCCATCTTACTATTAATATGGCCCTGATTACTGTGGTATCTAAGCACTTCACAATTTTTAATGTATTTATCCTCATCATACTCCTGTTAGGTAGGGCAGTCTCTTATTTCAGTTTTACAGATGGGGAACAGATGATTGCCCAAGGTCACACAGGAAGTATGTAGTGGAGAAGGGAACTGAACCCACTTCTCCCAACTCCCAGACAAGTGGCTTACTTAATGGACCATCCTCCTCTTGTGCATCAGACTCTTTGAAACTGCACCATTAGAACCAGACAGCTTCAGTAACACCTAGATGCAGTACTACTGAAAGTACATTTACCGTGTACCTGTTACATTATGCAGTAGTCAAATTCTAGCTTGGAATGTTGCTTTCAGCTAGCGAAAACCCCTGTGGTTGGCTGAAGATAACTAAGGTCTGTTCTACACTAGACAATTAGGGATATCAAAAATCCACACCCTTGAATTCTTCCATCAATTTAACTACCGCCTCTCAGGACAGAGGATTGCTTACACCAACCTCTTATCAGCACAGTGTCTACTCTACACTGAAGTGCTAAAGCTGTGCTGATGCAGTGTTTTAAATGTAGACAGACATTGAACAAGTTCAGGGTTATGGAATAATAGGGGGCTAATGCTAAAAGAATTATTTCAAGATCCATCTAGCTCGAAGAGGACTTTAACCTGGAATTCTATTTCTGATTTGCACCACCACCAGCTAGTCAGTTTAGTGAACCAGTTTTAAATCAATTGGGGCATAGATATGACAGATGGGACAGAAAAGAGAACCAGAATACATAATGTGCATCTGTTTGTTCCTTTTGCTGCTGAAAGCAAGCCTTTTTCTTCTCCTGTTATATCTTGCAGTAAGGTCAGAACTATGCAGAGATACCAGTCTGCCATAGAAATTGTCATCAAGTTCAACAATATCACTTCACTTAAACTGGACTGACTATGGGAATATGTCCTTAATTGCTCATTATCACAGCTAGCTGCAGTTTGGGTAAGAAATGTGAAAGATATATGGAGTTCCCATTTATGATGTAGTTTGGCTGTGTTAAACTGTTCTGACCATTCCTAGAATCCCCGTGGTTTGGAGCAGGAGTTTAAGATCAAGCAGAGGGATAGCCTTGAGTTCACAGAAGTTACTTTTATCTTTGTCAGGAAAGTCTGCTGTTTTGACCAAGGAACAAAGGCTGGAAAATTCACCATTTGCAGATGCATAACTAAACTTCGTAGAGTTTTGTTCCTTAACTCTCTTGATAATTCCAATTACTCTGCACAACTTCCTCTTGCGTCATTCTAAAGCAGTCAGACAGAACTAAAATTCCAGACGGGACATGAAATGGATCCCTCTCCTTGAATGTTCTTGTATCCTTAGGATAAATTCAGTGGGCCAGGAATCAGAAGACTACACATTCAAACCTCACTTGGTTAATATTTCTGTGCACTTCACAGCCCTACTGAGCAGGGCTTAAACCCCTATTCTCAGGAGTACAAGTATCCACCACCACTACAGATAGACGTACAGTGGTAGGGATCTGTGTTAGTCCCACACTATTTTTCTTTTTGACTGTGCTCTTGTACAGAGAATTGGACTCTCTAATTAGAACTGTTTCACTATATCCCAATCTGTCACACATGAATGGAACATATACATTTTAAGGGAAGGGTTTTGAAAAAGCAGTTTACTATAGAAGGTCTGTAGTATCTCCAGCCTGCAAATTACTTACAAAGAGACCAATCTGAGCTAAGGATTGAATGATTACCTAAACAAACCCCAAAACTTATTCATCCATATGTACCTTAAACTGCTGGCCGCAATAAGTGTTTTTAAATTGTCCCTATAAATACCTCTTTTACTGCTGTATTAAATGATTAACTTGTTCGTATTTCCTGTGTTAGGTAAGCAAATAAAGTAACAGGTAGCGAACATCTACATACACATACTTAGTGGAGGGGTTGGACAAATGACTGAAAAGTCTGCAGTTCAGTCTTCACTGTGTGAAGTAATTTATTGAAATCAAGTTCTGAAACCATAAATTTTCAACCAAAAAGAGAAGTTGATGCAGCATCCGAAGAAGTGGGCAGTAGCCCACGAAAGCTTATGCTCTAATAAATTTGTTAGTCTCTAAGGTGCCACAAGTCCTCCTGTTCTTTTTGCGGATACAGACTAACACGGCTGCTACTCTGAAACTAAAACTAGTATTTCATTTTATTAGAGCTACTGTTTCATCTTTTTTCACTAGCAAATATAAAGGATAGACCAGGCCACAGGGGAGGTGCTGATAAAAATCATGATTTTGTCCACACTGAGGATGGAAAGAAGCCCAACAGACCAATAGCAGCAATTAAAGCCATTGTCGGGAGGGGGCACAAGTGAATGATGTAACAAAGTTTTATTTCAAAGCTCCCAAGGACTTGAACTAAGCTACCTAATTTTTTCTTCTATATTCCCCCTCAGGTGAAGAGTACATATTACTCAGCACCATAGAAATGTTAATAGGGTAGGCCTTGGGTGTCAAAAGAGACAGCTAGATACACTGCTGACTATTTATAAAAACTTACTCTTTATACTGTAGTACTAATAATGCTTTAACTGGCTGCGAATGAGACAAAAAAAGTCCTAAAAAACAGAGCTTCTCATTCCCTCTATCTTTCCAAGTTCAGTTGCTGCAACAATAGCCAGCACTTGCCAGGCCTCAGGGGCAGGGAGTTCTCTTTTAGGGAACTACTGGGAGCTTTAACTATATGACACTTTAGCAAGGGTCTGGCACTTGCTTTCCACTGCAGAAGCTTCTTTAACTTACTCTCTCCAATGAACATTAAAACAAAGTCTGGAGATTTGTCTATGTTGTGCAGGGAAAAGGAAGGCAACAGAGACCCAAAATTCAAGACCAATAAAGCAAATTTAGGCAGTGATGAGCTGCCAAAATATTAACAACCGGTTCCCTCCTCCTCACCCCATGAGGGGGTCATGCCACCCACCAGGATTCCTGCCCCATCCAACCCCCCATGTTCCTTTACACCCGCACCCCCAGGACCCCTACCCTATCCACCCCCCCTTCCCTGTCCCCTAACTGCCCCCTGCCACCCCATCCAACCCTTCCTCTCATTCCTGATGGCCCCCCTGCCCCATCCAACTACCCCTTCTCTTTGTCCCGATTGCCCCTGGAACCCCTGCCCCTGACTGCACCCCGGCGCCCCATCCAACACCCCTGCTCCTTCCTGACTGCCCCCCCAAGACCCTGGCCCCCATTCAATTCCCCTGTTCCCTGCCCTCTGACCGCCACCAACCGGTTCTAAAAGGACAACCGGTTCTAAAAGGGCTTCTAAATTTAACAACCGGTTCCCGCGAACCGGTGGGAACTGGCTCCAATTCACCACTGAATTTAGGATGATCAGACCCCAGACTGATTCACAGGCCCAGAAAAATCTAGAAGTCTCAAAATCCTAGAGGAGAGAGATCTTGAGATTGATACCATAGGAAATAAAATCCCTGCTCTGCTGGGTCTGCATAGCAGGATGATCAGAAATCAGTAGCATCTTCTGGTGTGTGTAAAACACTAAACTTACTAAAAAAGGTAAATCTTGCTCTTATGGAATCCTACATCTCAAAAATTAATGCATTTAATTAAGGAAACATTTAATGTGATTGAAGATTTTATTTAAGGGACCCTTACACATCTACCATATTTCTGAAGAAGCTTCAGGGAACAAAGTAAGGATTTCTCTGGTTTGGAATAGGTCCTTCGCATAGAAGCATTTAACAATTGATAAATGTTGAAATGAACCACCTGGTGAAGATGGAACTGACTGATGTGCTTTCATTTCTCATTTCAATTTGCAATTCTCCTCGGAACTGCACCATGAAGTTGTCCATTTTCTGGCAAACAACTTGTCTCCCTTAATATTCGTTTAAAACACTCTTTCTCCTGCATCCTCCTCCTCTCCCCATCAAAAAATTGTTCACTCCCTTCCATTCTCTCCTGTTTCTTTTCTTATGTAACTGGATGTTCCAGTTTTCCCAATATGACAATAAAACCGATATTTCAATCCGTATTAACTGGATTGTGTAGTAAATCTAGTGTCAACCAGCAGAAGAGATATTTTAGGACAACAGAAATTATTTTAAAAGAAAATTTAGTAGCATAGTTACATTCAGCATCCTACAAACAACATTTTGGCTAAGTGCCCCTATGCTTCACTCATTCATACAAATTGAGTTGAAATAAAAGCCAATAGTTACACATCACACACACTACAAGAGAAGCAGCTACTTACATCTAACACTGTATTTGCCTCAACTCAGTTTATAGTGGTCAAATATTTAGAGCAAACTTTTCTCTATTCACTACCTTTTCACATCCACTCCTTTGGTCCCCTCTATAGAACCAGGTTACTTATTACTTGTTCTGATAACACACCAAAGCTGCCATCAGGTTGGGGAAGCCCTCATCATAGTTGGTATTGCATAGAGTGGGGGACAGTCCTTTGCCCTGGAGAGCTTTCAGTTCAAGAAGCAGACAGAATGTGAAGACTACTCAGAGAACCAAGTCACTTTACATTAAGCCTTTAACTTAGTGGCAAGGTTTGTATTTTCGGAGTACTGTTAATTTCAGTCACCAAATTAGGGTCGCTACTGGATATGATTAAGGCTGATTAGTTCTTAAATAAGTGATTCAACAAGAGAAACTTTTATAAGGTTGCAATTTTGACATACCTGCATACATTGGTAATGTCTGCACCAGAATAACCTTCCATTTTTTCAGCTATATTTGCAAGGTCAACATCATCAGCCAGTTCCAACTCCCGCAGGTTTATCCGTAAGAGTTCTTCTCTGCCTTTTGCTAAACAAAACACACACAAAATAGCATGTCTATAATACCATGATTCAAAAAAGATAAGATACATACAGGGTGGCTCTAATTTGTTTTAGTCCTCCTTTGCTCTATTCTGCATCTAAATCTAAAGCCCAATTCAGAAGGCAAATATTTTCAGAAACAGGAGCCCAAAGTTAAGTTCCTAAGTCTATATTTAGGATCCTAACAAGTTGCCTGATTTTCAGAAGCGCTAAGCACAAATTGACTTAGAATGATAGGGTTAGAAGGAACCACAAGGGTCATCTAGTCTAACTCCTTGCCAAGATGCGGGATTTGTTGTGTCTAAGCCATTCAAGACAGATGGCTATCCAGCCTCCTTTTGAAAACCTCCAGTGAAGGAGCTTCCACAACCTCCTTAGACTTAAGAGGTTGCAGTTGGGCACTCAGCATTTCTGAAAGTCAGGCCACTTTTCAGGAGTGTTAACTTTGCATTCCTATTTTTGAAATTCAATCTGTTATAGTCCTTACATTGTTTTTCACCTCTCCATTCTAGGTTAATCTCTGTATCCATTGGCCTTATATCCACATGTACCTGCCATTTTAATGCTTTGTCTGTGGTGTTATGGAACTTGATGCACTCTCTTCATCACTTGGCAGCTATCTTCCATATCCAGACCATGAATGCATTCAACCAAACAATACATTCAAGGTAAAGTGCCTCCAAAGTTCAAAGGTCTCTTCCGAGCCCAGATGTCCGATGCAGTATAAGATATTGCCAAAAATTACAAGATTCATCACAAAATAAAAGAAGCAATGATCAGCTTGCTTTTTTTTCTTAATTAATCTAAGGAAATCTTTTTACCTGATGGTAAAGGAATGTAAATTCTCTTTTCTAGTCGTCGTCTTAGGGCCTCATCAATATCCCAAGGAAAATTAGTAGCAGCAAGTACCATAACCATTTTGGAAGGATCATCATTTTCAGCAGCCCCTCCAACACCTGTGGTAGGAGGGGAAATAGTTAAACCTACTCAGCTATCATGGGAAGATCCTATATAGATACAGAATCATGGATACTCTGAGGTATAATATTAAAGTGCAAGTTTAATTTTAGTTCTACCAGGCATTTTGGGATGAAGAACTGCAAATTCTAGGTCAGAAAACTGAGGTTAACCTTGATATAAATTTCACAAGATGGGCAAGTCCTTCTGCATCAACATACAGACAATTCTGCAATAGCCACACGGATTTCTGCCTTTATCACAGGGTGTCAATGTGAAAACTCAGAATGGAACTAAAAATAAGGGCACTCAAAAATTTCATTAACAGCTATGCCAAAAAGTAGAACTGCTGCTTTCAAAATAAGATCTTCCCCTCCAATTTGTAGGCTTGATACTGCAATCCCTTACTCAGTAATTCTTATTAACATAAGTAGTCCTAGAAAAGTCAGCATTCAAGACTAGTGGATTAGGTCCATGGACTAAAACCCTTTTGAACAGAAAGGAAGTATTTTAGTCTGTAAAGCGTTGTTAAATTAGTGGCACTATATAATAGCTTTTACTAATAAAAACCCAAGATGTGTTTTACTAGAAGTGTCATCCCCTACATCTGTTACCAGGGTGTTTATTTGTAATTCATTCTAATTACAAAACCGACAGATTTTGCTTGTAATCAGTGATAGATCCTGGAATACTCACTGTACTGTTTGCCCTAATATTGAAGCATATCAAGATACCATTTATCAGAGGGGTAGCCGTGCTAGTCTGGATCTGTAAAAAGTGACAGAGTCCTGTGGCACCTTATAGACTAACAGAAGTATTGGAGCATAAGCTTTCGTGGGTGAATACCCACTTTGTCAGACGCATGTTCTGACGAAGTGGGTATTCACCCACGAAAGATACCATTTGTGAATATTCCAAAATTCCATGGCTAAAAAAGGGAGCTAATGAAAAATTCATTACTGATGCAAATATTTGAGTTGCAAGGAAAGTATCTCAAGGGCTCTGACCTTGCTCCTATTTAAGTCAATGGGAGTTTATAGACTTAAATGGGTTTAGGATCAGACTGCTCAAAGTTAAAAAAAAAAGAAAAAAAAAGATTTTCTGACTCCTGCAATCCTAACACAAGTTATTCTGCAGATTAGCAAAGGATTTGAAGGTTTCTTTAAGTACATATTCAATAGTGTTTAGCAAAGAAGTTGAAATTAAAAATAACTAATTTTCTGCACAAATAAAACAGGCATGGGTTTTTCCTATACAATAACAGTTGCTTAAATTAATTGTAGAAAGTAACTGAAGTGTGCCGTTTTTATTAAAATGCTGTTTTAAACCAGTATCATAATGTGAATCCTTTTGGAGGGGATAACTGCCATTTGAAGTTTAAATTCGCACAGGTTACAGTGACTCAAATCACTCGTATAGAAGACAACAGTCTGGAGCGCTTAGTGATGGTCATCTTTGAAGACTTTCTGCTTCTAGAGCTATACAGCTACATCTGACTGCTTTACTTTATTGGACTACCAAGGGGGAAGGGTTAGGTTGGAAGGGGGGAAAAAAATCACTTGTAGGAAGCGTAGGGTTATATAAGAGTCATGACTGTGAGGGGGAGCTCAATGATTCCACAGCTTTGAGGAAGCTCAGTTATTCTGAAGTTACAATACGAAGCTGTGATTCAGATACTGAAGAGTGTGTTTGTGGGAGTAGATAAGATAGTGTAGAAGATAAGCTCAGTATATTTGTAGTGTCTTGTGAGTTTGAGTAATGTTTGTGTGTTTATCATTTTAATCTGCCTTTTTAAAAACAGCATAATTAAATTATTGTGCCTAAAGAATAAAATTCAATCATTTTATTTTTTCCTGTAACCCAGAACCATCAACAATGATTAAGTTCATTTACCATCCATCTGAACCAGTAGTTCTGCTTTCACCCGTCGGCTGGCTTCATGCTCCTCCGAGGTTCCTCTGCGACTACAGATAGAGTCTATCTCATCAATAAATATAGTTGTTGGTGCATAAAATCGAGCCTAGAGAAATCAGAAACTGAAATTGCATCAGTTTATCTTAAGCTTTATTTAAGCTTATTTCTTTGGAATTGTGGCATCTCCTAGAGCTGCCTATAAGCACTGCTGTGCTGTCTTGGCTTTGGTGAGTCAACACAATAGGAGTAAATAGCCAACATGTCTTCTCCCTTACCTCCACCCTTTCAAACATACATACCATGAGCAATTATGCTTTCAGTAGCAATGATTTAAAAGCAGAACATTACCCTACTCAAGTGTAGTAACCCCTAGAGTATTACCTGCCAGCTATTCAATAACCCGCAGCAACACTATACAATAATTTACAATGGAAATGAATGTCACATCCAGCTCAAACTGACAACGTGCACCCCAGAATGTAATTTAAATAGGCACAGTAATTATTGAAGGTAATATCTGACCAGGACACTAAAGTTAACACCTGTAACGTGTTAAAGGTGTTATGGGATCTTTAATGAAACCAAGATCAAATCTAACTAAGACAGCACTAAAACCATGCTGGGATAATCAGTTCAATATTACTACAAGGGGCGAGTGCCACCGACTGATTGAGCCACACTAATTCCTGTAGCACATGTTTCATGGCAGCCACATGCTAATCCTAGCCAGGCCTTGAGATTCGATAAAAGGCAGAGAGAAAAACACCCAGGAAATTCAACGTTATTGCCCCCAGTAACTATAACATATTGCTTTGTGCATACAGACTATTTTCTGTTGCTGTATATGGCATTAACTTTAATGCCTTTATCCATGTATAATGTGGTCAACTTCAATAAATTCAAACCTGAAGTGCCCATAGCAGTGTGATATGATTTGTCTGTAGAACTGAGGCTACAATAACCACATTTTGCAAGACTGTGCACCCCAGAATGCACAGCATTTGAACTTGGCGATGTAGAAAAGTCTTTACTGAGTCCATCATTCCATTAATTTCAAGTGTCACATGCTCTGTAGACTACTGAGCCTTAGCCACATGATATGATTTGAACTGAAGATTAAAAGTTCTTATGTTATTCCGCTAAAAGGGAACACTACACATTTTATATAGTGGATGATTGTGTGACCACATCTAATCTACTTAACTGGGATCTAAAGTCACAGAGCAAGGTTTTGAATTTTAGTAGTTTTGTCTTCAGGGAGTTATTTCAAATTAGGCTGCAAAGTCTATTTGTAGAAAGCACAGACCAAATAGTGTGTCAGACTGAAAATGTTTAATTTAGTGTATCACATTATTAGTAGGTATAAGCAGGCCTGGATTAAGGAAATCTGGAGCTTTTGGGTATATCTACTTGGGAAGTTTCACCCATTATGTTTGTATAACTAGTGATTTAAACTTCCTGTGTAGACTCTTATTCTGGAATAAGAGTGGCTTTTTCAGCCTACTTTAAACCATTTTCAAAGAAGCATAAGCTAAACCAGAAAAAAAGCTCTCATACTAGAATCAGCATGTCCACATGGGGAGTACAGTGGTACAACAATAGTGGTTTAAATTCACATATCTTATACAAGTATAACTTTCCCAGGTACCTAAAGGTTTATCTACGTCACAAGATGCCAAACCCCTCCTTCCCCCACTGAGCTGTTGTTTCTGGCTGCTTGCTGACTCAGGCAGACATCACTACATTGGTTACACTATTCACAGTTTTTCTTAAAACCATAAGGAATGGCAACCTTTTATTAAAATGAAACTGGAGATTCTGAGGCAGTCACATGAATCCAGGAACTGTGGCCATAAGCCTGGCCTGTAGTGCTTATGCTTTAATTCAACTTGAGGTATGAGCACATATGCTAAGTAGGAAGCTAGACCATTCTGTCAATTTTTACAAGTGTTTTCTATAAATAATATCTGTGTGCATATTTATATATACACACACACACCCAAAAATGGAGGGTCTCAAACTTCAGTGTAACTAATAAGGCTTTAGCTTGGAGGCATACTGACACACTGTATCTTGCCTAGGTTTCACTGCTCTGGGAACAGAGTTACAACCCACTATTCCTTATAGAGTTGTTAGTCACCATTTCAAACAGCAGGCGGACAAGTTTCTCAGATTCTCCTCTGTATTTTGAAGTAAGTGTTGATGAAGAGATGTTGAAAAATGTTGTTTTGCATTCAGTAGCTACAGCTTTTGCAAGGAGAGTCTTTCCAGTACCGGGTGGACCAACCATCAGCACACCCTATTTGAAAAGAGACAGTCCAAAGTGATGCACCAAAATCTGTTAAGGCTAGTGAAAACCCACTGCAACAATCATAGCCTAAGAAACTGTTTGATAGCCTCAGCGTTAGACTATTTAGTATGAACTTTTGCTTAATCACATTTCCGAACCAGGAAGAGAAGGTGGATGAGGTTTTTTTTTTAAAACTAACAAAATCATCCAAAACACAGGGCTTGGTGGTGATTTCAACTATCCAGACATCTGCTGGGAAAATAAGACCGCAGGGCACAGATTATCCAACAAGTTCTTCAAATGCATTGGAGACCACTTTTATTACAGAAGGTGGAGAAAACAAATGGGAGAGAGGTTATTCTGGCTTTGATTCCAACAAACAGGGAGGAATTAGTTGAGAATTTGAAGGTGGAAGACATCTTGGGTGAAAGCAATTATGGCATTCATGATTCTAAGGAATAGTAGGAAGGAAAACAGCAGAATAAAGACAATGCACTCAAGAAGGCAGACTTTAGCAAACTCAGGAAGTTGATAGGTAAGATCCCATGGGAAGCACAGCTAAAGGAAAAAGAGTTCAGGATAGCTGGCAGGTTTTTTAAGAGACAATATTAAGGACACAAAAGCAAACTACCCCAATGTTTAGAAAAAGATAGGAAGCGTGGTAAGAGGCCACCTTGTTTAATTAAGAGATCTTCAATGACCTGAAACAAGAGAGAAAGTCATACAAAGTAGAAACTAGGTCAAATTACAAAGTTTGAATACATACATACATACACACACACACACACACACACACACACACTTAAGGACAAAATTAGAAAGGCCAAGGCACAAAATGAGATTAAACTAGCTAGAGATATAAAGGGTAATAAGAAAGCATTTTACAAATTCATGGGAAGCAAGACAACAATGAGGGACAGGGTCGGCCTATTACTAAAAGATTGGGAAAGAGACACGATGACAAAAATTGAAAACGTAGCAATAGACAAAGTGAATGTGTTAATTAAATGCCTTTTTTGTTTCAGTTTTCCACCCAAAAAAAAGTTAGCAGTGATTGGACAACTAACAGAGAACATCAGTGTAAATGGGGTAGGATCTGAGGCTCCAATAGGAAACAAACAAGTTAGATGTCTTCAAGTGATTAGGGCCTTATGAAATAGATCCTAGAATTCTTAAGGAACTGGCTGAAGAAATCTAAGCTATTAGCAATTATCTTTGAGAACTCGTGGAGGACAGGAGAGATGCCTGAGGACTGGATAAGGGAAAATTAGGTACCTATCTATAAAAAGAGGAATAAAGACAACCCAGGGAATTACAGACCATTCAGCTTAACTTTGGTAATCAGAAAGATAATGGAGCAAATAATCAAACCATCAATTTGTAACCACCTAGAAGAAAATAAGGTGGTAAATAACAGTCACCACAGATTGGTCAAGAACAAATCATTTCAAACCAACCTAGTGTCCTTCTTTGACAGGTTAACAAGCCTTGTCGATCGGGAGAAAGCAGTAGATGCGATACATTTTGACTTCCAGGCTTTTGATGCTGTCTCACATGACCTTCTCATAAAGAAACTAGAGCAGCAATTTGTAAACTTTGAGCTGAGCCCCCCTCTTTGTGTTACATTTTGGTTGCACCCCTACAACTCAAATAAAAATAGACCCATGCGAAAGTATGCTTGATAGTCTATTTATAAACCTAACAGAGACCTTAACACAACTTTAATTAAATTACCTACACCGGTAAGTTTCAAATACACAGATACCGTACCTACCAACGACACAGCCAAGGCTCCCTCAGCAGCAAGTTGCTTCTACCTTGCAGCCAGGCTGCACCCCTAGGGCAGAGCCAATACCTGGCCCTTTGCCTCCTTCTCCTTCTCCCTCTCCCCCCCGCCCTCCCTGCTTGGGTTTTCAGGGTTGGGGAAGGCAAGTGCAATGGTCTCTGGGGATGGAGCCAGCGCTAGGCTCAGAGTCTGCCAGACGTGGAAATGGGCACAGCAGATGTTGACACCGACCCACAGGCTGGGTGGCCCACTGAGGTGAGTCAGAGCTGGAGGTGGCGCTCCCTTCCCACCCCTGCGGGGGCTGGCACAAGCTGTCTGGCATCGCCACTTGCCCCCCCAAGAGTTCCTCCACGCGGCCCTAGGGGGCGTACCAAACAATTTGAACACCTCAGTACTAGAGAAATATAGCTTAGAAGACAAATCTACATAAGGTAGGTGCACAACTGGCTGAAAAAACACACTCAGAGTAGATATCAATGGTTCACAATCGAGCTGGAAGGCCATATATAGTGGGGCCTCAGAGATCTGTCCTGGTTCTATTCAATATCTTCAGAAATAATTTGGATAATGGCACAGAGAGTAAACTTAAAGTTTGTGGATGATACCAAGCTGGAAGGGGTTGTAAGTGCTTTGAAGGACCAGATTAAAATTCAAAATGATCTGGATAAACTGGAGAAATGGTCTAAATTAAATAGGATGAAATTCAATTAGGACAAATGCAAAGTACTCCACTTAGGAAGGAACAGTCAGTTGCGCACATACAAAATGGGAAATGACTGTCTAGGAAGTACTGCAGAAAAGGCTCTGGGAGTTATAGTGGATCACAACAATACTGTTGCCAAAAAAAAAAAAGTGAACATCATTCTGAGATGTATTAGCAGGAGTGTTGTAACCAACATGCAAAAAGTAATTCTTTCATTCTACTTAGCACTGATAAGGGTTCAACTGGAGTACCGAATCCAGTTCGGAGAAGACTACTTCTGGAAAGATGTGAACAGATTGCAGAAAGTCCACAGGAAAGCAACAAAAATGATCTAAGGTCTAGAAAACACATTTTATGAGGAAAGAGTGAAAAAAATTGGTTTGTTTAGTCTGCGGAAGACTGAGGGGAGACATAACAGTATTCAAGTATATAAAAGTTTGCTATAAAGAGGAGGGTGATAAATTGGTCTCCTTAACCATCGAGAACAGGACAAGAAGCAAAGGGTTTAAATTGCAGTGATGGAGATTTAGGTTAGACATTAGGAAAAACTTCCTAACTTTAAGGGTAGTTAAGCACTGGAACAAATTACCTAGGGAGGTTGTGGAATTGTTGTCATGGGTTTTTAAGAACAAGTTGGACAAACACCTGTCAAGGATGGTCAGATAATACTTAGTCCTGCCTCAGTGCAGGGGACTGGACTAGATGACCTGTCGAGGTTCCTTCCGGTCCTACATTTCTATGATTCTATTCAAAACTAAGTAGTAAAGTGATTTTACTTTCTTGAATACTAACAGAATGCACACATGCCAGTATATGTTTTAGCCTACACTAACTTCATTTGTATTCAAATGACACATAGTTGCCTAAAAAGTTTTGGTTAAAGATGGGTAAATATACTATACACAGAACATTTGTGAGTTCAGGTGCCCCTCTTAGGACAGGTCTTAGAATTACACTGCTTGCTAAGAATCAGCAATTTCTTACCTTCCACGGTCTTCTAATTCCCTTAAAGAATTCTGGCATCCACATTGGCAAGACTACAGCTTCTTTGAGCAATTTTTTGGCATCAACTAAGTCAGCTATATCATCCCTGATAGAGAGAGGGAAAAAAAAGTTGTTTAACACTTTATGACAGGGAGATGCCTGATCACTGCTCAATTCCAGATGCAAACTCTTCAATTACCATTAATAGCTATTTAGTAGCCTATATGAATGAGTTGGTCTAGTTCTGTTTCTAGGGAATATCTGCACTGGAGCTGGAAGAGGCAATTTCCAGCTCAGGTACACAAACCCGCAGCATATTAAAAATATAAGTGTAGCCACAGCTGCATGAACAACAAGAGGGACTAGACTCCTGGAGTACGATCCCATCCAAGACCATAAGTACATATTTGGGGCAATTAGCCCCTCCTGCTGCTTGTGCTGCAGCGGCTACACTTCTATTTTTAGCACACTATCTTAATCAGAGCAGCATGGGTATGTCTCCTCAAGCTGGAAATTATACTTTCCAGCTGTACTGCAATCATACTACTAGTGGGCAAGTTCTCTCATCAATTCTGCCATCACTACAACTGGCATCTTTGTTGGCAATCTCCACAGACGTGCCAAGGACTGAAAAGACATTGAAATTAAACTACGTTCTCACTTGTGCTCCCAGCCTTTCTGTACAGTCAGGGAGGAAGAACACTGGTTAAGGCAGTTTAAGGGAAGCTTGTGTGTTACCACTGCCTGGTCTGTAGCTCTCCCACTAAGAACTTTGACAGCCCAAGAAACCTAATCTTGTGATATTTTGACTAACATATTCAAGGCAACTATGTTTCCCTTCTTGTTTGAGACTAGGTTTCAACACTTTCTGTAAGTGCTGAAAAATGGATTATCTTTCACACTAGAGGTAACACTATTTTCAGCACCAATTCAGGTGGACCCATTAGTGACAAGTCCTTTTGCTAGCATAGACCTATACAGCAGAAAGCCTTGCCAAAAGACACTGGCAGACCTAATATAATCTTAAATATACTGAAATAGTGCCTCATGCATGAGCAGCTCAGACACTGGGCTATAGGACTGATTGGAGAAGTTTTCCACCACAGTTTTCATGTAATTAAAAGTAAAGTGCTAGAAACATTCAAGCAAGCAAAGTTACTTTAATATACAAAAAACAATGTAGCTGTAATTATTTAGTGTGTCAAAAACTTAATCCCAAAAAGACAGCCTCCACTTTATAACAGAAAAATCACAACCTGGATATAAGCTTAATTTTATTCAAACTTACCATCGAACATTGGGATTTTGAGAAATAATATCTTTTTCCAAAGCTTCTACTAAGTCTTTATCATACCCAGTACCGTCAAACCTCTTTGGCTCAGATTCTGAAACATCAGATGACGACTTGTTCTATGTTAAAAAACAAAATTGATACATGTGACAATGTGAATTCACGAAAGGCTCTACTGCAGTATTATATATTGCCTTCTCCTGGGTAGATCCAACAGTGGCACCAATGGCTGGAATTCTGGGGATAAAAGGGATCCCATCCAGCTCTGAAGCCATGCATAAATATTCTGCTCCTGGGATGCTTTCAAAGTGCCTTTATTAATTACAAACAAAGGAACAAAAACCCAAACTGACTTGGTTAAGAAAACTTTTCATTAACACTTCATCAGCAAAGCCCACTGAAGGCACAGAGGCAACATTTTAATTATTTTTGTCCTGTCTTTCTAAAGATTCAATGTAGCATTTTACTTATTAGGGTTAATCCTGCTCTTACTAAAATCAGCTGCAAGACTCGCATTGAAATCAATTGGAGTAGGATTTGATACTATCACTGGTATAAAGCACTGAACCCTGCCTACCAGTTTAACTCCCAAGCTAACTTTAATTTACAAAGATACACAATACAGTGTACATGCGATTTCATTTCCAGGTGTCAAATTCTAACTAGGCAGTTTATATTACGCATAACACCCCTATATCCAAGAACTTTTAGAGATTACAGAAACTGAAGTAAACCCTGGATTCTATCCATCAATTCTGTGGACATTAATAGGTTGGCTTTGATTTATTTGGTAAAGACATTGGTTTATTTTAGAAAGCTATATCAAAGATGGATTTTACTTTTTGAATGTGATCTCTTATTTCAGCCATTATCAGGTGAATATTATGTGACACTGTCCTTCTGGGAATTGCACAGTTCTGACCATTAACGATTCCTAGTTCTGACTGCAAGAATAGGTAACTTCTTAGACTGAATCCAGATATATTGCTAGTTTGTTTTTAAAAAAGAGAAATGTAAGTAGCTAAGATCAGGCTGACCTTCTGAATGAGAGGTTTAAGATCTCCCTTAAGAGTTAATTGAATCCTGAAAAATTTTGCTTCCAGATGCTTTGAAAGACACAAGGCAACAGCCTCACACTGTCGTTGCAAGAAGGTATGTAAAAAAATAACTCATTCAGACTCTGAAAATTTGAATCAGCTACTGAAATGAAGACTGAAGTAATACAATTTTATATTTCTTGTAAACAGCCGTGTCCAAGAATATCCAACGAACTCTTGTATAAGGTCTGAGTTACACAGAAAGAAGGGCTTTACAAAGAGGCAATATGGTCTCTAGAGGAACATGTACAGGATTCGAGGTCAGCAACTGGCAAGTTCTAAGCCCTGGCTCTGCTAATTAATCTATGTGCCCTTCAGCCAATTATGCTGTCCTTCAGTGTTCATCTTCATCTATTAAACACCTTACAAATACGTGCCAAGGTTTCATGTTTGTATAGTGTTTTAAATATGAGAAGCACTATACAAGTGTTACATTTGGTCAAAGATAACTTCTTCTGCACTAGTCATCTCCCTATCCTCCAACGTAAGGCTGCAATGAAACCACAAATCTGTAAACTTCATGAAATGATCCACAAGTTTACCTTTTCCTCTCTTCCTTTATTCTGCTGATCCTTCCTTTCTCGGCCACGGACTGCTTTCCCTTTATCATTAGGATTTCGAGAGGCGGGCCGGTGAGGGCCTCTGACAGCTGCACTTACACGGTTATTGTGGCCTCTGCAATCATTGCACTGAACAGACTGACGTTTTCTGGCTCCTGGAGAAGGTCTGATTGGTCATAACATATACAAAAAGTTTAAATTTAAAGTCTATGGTGAGCTTTATCAAACCTCATCAAATCTTAACTATGAATTGCCCAAGATAAAATCTACATCTGTTAAGTAATCTTTCTTACCTATTTAATTTTAAGATGCCATCAATATTACAAGTTGCCAATATAAAAGTTATCTAAGCTCAAAAAACAGGACTTATTTTAAAAGAAAGTCAGAGATTTCATACTTTTCAAACTCACTTCATCCTCTGTTTATACTTAGCCTACCTACACCAGAAGCTTAATACATTTATAATTTGTTAAGTACCAATGTTCTTGCTGCTGTACACCACTTAGATAAACGCTGTCCTAAAGGTGCTTATGATCCAACAAAAACTGAAATCCCTTTACCAGAGTATTCTTCCTTGATCACTGGCACAGAATGAAAAGGCTTCTCATGAATGCTGGATCACTGTTCAGTATAAGTCAAAAAATCCACTGGAGCATTTCACCCTCTATAGAAGACTTACACAGACTTTGTAAACCAAGGAGGGAAAAAGGTTTTGGGGACTTCAAACGTTACCCCTCTCTGTTTAGGCCCTTAATCAATAACAAAAAGCTACATGTATAACTGCAGCTTTTTTTGAAATACCACAAGAACCATCAGATTCTGTCTCCAGAGATGAAATGCTAGTGCACTAATCTACGTTTCCTAGAAGCAAAATATTTAAAAAGTTTTGTTACTGATAAAAAGGTAAGGTTTCTTAATACAAAGTTGCCTGACCAGGATCCAAGTCTCATCTCAAGCCTCCAAAAAGGCAGCAACTCCACCAAGCTTTTGTTTTCTAACCCTGCACACACACTCCCTTCCCAAAACCTCCTCAATATGACTAGCTTAACCCAAGAGAAGGCAATTTTTTCTAAAAACGTGTAAATTTCCCACCTTGAGAACTCTCATTGAAACTAATAGACGTCTCTCCTACTCTTCCTAAGACTCTTGGACAACCTCCAGAAACATGCATGCAAATAAGTATGGAGGGGAATCACTGATTTTTTTAAAATTCAAGGTCTCTCCTCTGTAAATACATTTGACACACAATTTCTTAACTAGAATTCATATGTATTGTATAGCATTAGTATGTATTTTATATTCTTTGGCACCAGCAAGACTGTTATTCCTATTGATACAAATATTTTTGCAGCTGCCATTTCAGAAAAATTCCAATTTACAATCCTAAGAGCCAAACTGTTTTCTTATGGATTATTTCTGAGAAATGAGGAAGAGTAAACTCCATGAGGTTTGACTTGAATGGCTGTTGAGGGTTATGTGCAGGGGATCTCTAGTCCACAAAACTCATGGGTATCCTAGGAGATCTGTGGGGAGATTCTGTGCCTTAACAAAGCTTAACAGCTCTCTGGCTTCCATAGCAACACATTTTCCAACATGGTTCCTACCCCTGGTGGTAGGCAAGAGATGAAAGAACCTACATAAATTAATGCTAATACAGTCAATTTAAGCAGCAGCTAACCTTCCTGCTCCCTAGTAGTCTGGCGACAAACAGAACTTTCTTTCCCCCGGAGCAGGAGTATCGGTGTCGACGGCAAGCACTTCCAGGATCGATTTATCGCGTCTAGACAAGACGCGGTAAATCGATCTCAGAAGATCGATTGCTTACCGCCGAACCCAGAGGTAAGTATAGACGTACCCTTAGTCAAAAACCACAACACTGTTAAAGACTTCGATCCTAAACTTGCAAGCTGTTTCTCCTAGGGGAAGTACAAATGAAGTCAGCAGCTTTTGCATGGGGACAGGGATCAATCTATGACAGAACAGCTTGTGGGATCAGGGCCCAAGTCTTCAATTTCTACAGAATTTAAATTTTCATTTTTTAAAAAATAATTACATGTCAAGCCTTTTTGGTTACAAAGGCAACTTTCCAAAAATGTGAACTGAAATATTTTCTTTAATCTGCAGACATAGTTCCAATGCCTCTGCTCCTTGACAAAGCTGTTTAAATTGGAATTACCAAGATTAGTAATGGTGAAACTGACCTCTCAGAACACTGGATAGCAAAACAGTCAAAATATCATGCCTATTTCAGGCTGTTGCTTGGGAAAGCTACAAGCAGCAGCAAAGGCAAGCCCAGGAGTTATGCACTAGGAGAAGATGACCCTAAAAAGGGAGGCCGTAGAAAGTGCTAGAGTAGCAGATACTTCTCCCTCTCCTTCACACCAGCTGCAATGAGAATCATTGCAGGGATGATGAGGAGGGAAGAAAAATACAGCAGTGGAGAGTCAGCTTTCTTGGAACCTCCAGAACACCCATGTCTTCACACTACTCTTTCTTCCTGCAGCTAGAAAGTTGGCTGACGCTTCACATTTATCAGACTATTAAAGACAAAAAGAAAATGACATCCTTAAATAGGATCCAGAAATCTCACTCCTTTCCCAGAATCTGGCTATTTAGGTGTCAGAGTTTCCAAGCCCTGTACCTTAGCCCTAAAAAAAAGGGAGGAATTCTCCAACTGCAGACTCTCATTGAAGTTGGAGCATGTTTTTACTTTATTACATGTTATCTGCTCCTACCAATTTTCTTCTTACCTACGTTCAGCTGGCACAGGCAAGGACCACACTTCTCCATCACGAGCTGGTAATTCTTGCTGTGCTGCTTTCAAGGGAGTGCAATCTAATTTAAAGCTTTCCAGTGTTTTCATTATATCCTTCACGTGCTTAGCTTCCACACTTATCTCCTGCCAAACCTAATGCGAAAATATGAAGTATATTAAAGCATATTACTAACAAATGTGTAACAGAGTCATGCTAAAGCCAATGTGAATGCACTCTGATGGATTCCACAAGATTTCTCTAGTTATCTTAATCCTGATGCTTTAAATTAGTCCAATACATTTAAAATACTACTTATGCTTCAGAACATGAAATAATATACATGAAATTTGTGAAGGGTTTTTTTTTTGGTCTTAACACTTTTTACACTGTGAAGAATCAGTCAGATAAATGAACAGAGATGGGTTTAATACCAACTCCATAGAACCTGCTGCTGGTTTTCATTTCACAGTCTTAAGAAAAAAAACACATTACAATGGAAAAAGGGTAAAGGGGAAATGAATACAGTGGTCTGAACTCACTCTGTATTAGACAGCCAAAACCACACCACTGAAATATTGCAATAAGAATAAGAGCGATAAGAATTAAATAAACGGAAGCGTAACTGGGGCACTCATTGACACAGTTAAAAGTCAAACTGGCAAGCAAGTTAGTACAATACTAACTCCTGTTCTAACTAACTGTTCTCCACTCCTTACTCTGCAAGGGGCAACAAAGAGAGAAATCAGCCAATGAAAGCTTCAATAAGAATGTATAGTTGTATTACAGTTTACCAGGGAATAGTTTAGATATTTTTACATTTCTTATTCAACATTAAACTAAATCATTTATATTAGCTTAATACTTTACCATTGAAATATTAACTGGCAAAACAGGACTGCTCACCTGTTGCCATTTCTGTTGCAGATATGTATCTTTGACAGAGTAGAGGTATTTATTCATTTGGTCAAGTACTCCTTGGTAGTAGACCATTGCAGAATCATAGTTTCCCAGCAGCGCATATTCACGGGCCAGTTTTACATTCTCGCTAATCATAACAAGACTCATACTCAACATAAGCTGAAAAAAATTAAATAGTTATACTGAAAATTCAGTACAAGAAAACAAGTCAAAGCATATATGTGAAATAACTTCCAGATAATTAAACATATCCTAATCTAATTGATTAACAGTGATGCCGGGAGTAGATTCATTAAGAGGAGTCACACTGGAAGAAAAAAAAACTATTTGATCAATATAAAAATACAAATGAATTACACTTGTCTATAACCACAGATGTATGTGAAACTTTTTATTACACAAGTTGAGTTATCAAGTAGTGTAGAACCTACTGTTAAGTACACATGCAAGTGTGCAGAGACTACATGACGCTGGGAGCCATGACTGAATACACTCCTCCCCACCTTTTTTCCCCATCCCTTCAGGTAAAAGAATCTGGAGGTAGTGAGTGTGATAGTTTGGGGTTCAGGTCACCATCTGCCATGTAACCCTGGGTGTCTTGTGGCAGTGCAGCTTTGATCCAGAGCTCTGACCCAACAGCCTACCAGCAGCCCACACGCTTCACCCTGACTTTGCCTAACCTGGGTACTCTTTGCACGCTGACCTTAGTACTCTTCCAGCCCCCAAATTGTCCTACTGCGGGACCAGTCCCTCTCATTGGACTTTCACAGAGAAGTGTTAGTTTGCAGCCTTTACAACCTATTAGCTTTCTGAAAGCACACACTTCACTGAACTTGCACAGCACTGATTTATAATGAACATAAGAACAGCTATACTGGGTCAGATCATAGGTCCATCTAGCTTAGTATTTTGTCTTCCAACAGTGGCCAATGCCAGGTTCCCCAGAGGGAATGAACAGAACAGGTAATCATCAAGTGATCCATCCCGTCGCTCGTTCCCAGCTTCTGACAAACAGAGGCTAGGGACACCAACACGAGACAACAATAAAGGCCAACATGTTTATTTACAAAATAGAATGGATTAAGTGATACCAAGTAAGAGAGAGAATGAAAGAGATGTTTACAAGCAAATAAGTGAAAACATCTAAAAATCTAAAATTTATACTAGTAAGATATAGCCTTTGTTCAAGATGGATTCTTCACCCAACAATCTCCTTTCCAGCTTTTTACTAGCGGGACTATCCAGGACCCACCACAGAGATCAAATTGCTTGGTTTCTTTGTTTCCTAAGGTGAAGGATAAAGATGGAGTCTCTCTCCATTCCTTATATCCCCAAAGGGAATGCCTTTGTCTTACAAGTCAGAAAGGCCTGCTGGAGATTCAGTCTCCTGTCTCTCTCTGGGGTGCAGGTACCTTGATAATTCTTGGTCTTTCAAGTTCAGGGTCAGGATAACTCCCAATGGTTCAGCTCAACAGCTGTGTTTACTGCTATTAGGTAAACACTCCTTTGTCTAGGACAGACCTGTTTATTATCTTTATCTAGGCGAGGCTGCCTGGTCTTAAACTTGTTCTAGTAACATCATACAGAGAGAATTCATAACATAACATGCATTTTACAATTATATTAACAACAAGCATGTTATTAGCTTTCATATGATACCTCAATGCATACTTTGTACAAATATTATTGCATTCTGTGTGTAAGGTGCAAATACAGGGGTGCCTAGGGTCAAAGTGAGTGATTTTATTGCTGGTACTCCAGCATCATTAATACTACATGAGCTCTATAGGTTTTTTATTTCACTGAATTTACTATTAAAAAAAAAAAGTCAAATAAGGAAATAAGGGCCCTTCCACCCCTGGGACTTCAGGCATGACTAAAGGTGCATCTCCTGGAATCTTTTGTTAGTAGGCTATCTGCAGAGCTGGAGCATGTAATGAGGAAGGCAATGGTGGTCATTTCAGGGAGAAGAAACAGGGAAGCCTGACAAGCTTAGGAGTACCTGGGCTAGCCTTATAGCACTATCTTCTTCCTACACATGCAGAGATTACAGATCTAGCAGAAGGAAGTAGCCACTGAGAAGGTACAAGCTGAAAACAAATGCAGTCAAAATCTTTAACATGTCAGAACACACTGAAGAACACTGTCTAGCTTTCCAGGACAATCTCAGGAAATGGAAATTCTAAATCTCGTTTCCTGTAGTTCTGGGTCTCCTATTGTTTCCTTACCTTGTCTGTATTTAACAAAAGTAGCGTTCCACCTTAGAAGAGAGGCTTATGGGAGCATTCCAATTATTCTCCTTTGCTATTTCCTTCCTTCTTGACTTCTCATGCAGATAGATCCCTCTGCAAGATTTGAGTGAGAAACGTAATGAAACCAGCATATTTTGATTAGTACTGAGATTTAGTGAAGGAGGCAGGGTAAGGAAGGGAAGGCAGCACTGTGTGGTCTGTACAAAAATGCACCTCCAATACTCTTAAACAGCATATCCTCCCTGGAGCACTTTTTTTTTTTAGCAAAACATCTTTCTTTGTAAGTATCTAGCTTCCCCAGAATAATACAGAACTGAAAAGGTGTAAAGATTTCTAAAATTTACCAGATAACATTCAGAAAGAATTTAAATGTTAAAGGATTGCAACTGTTCCTTAGTCTAGTTTATTTGATTATAGGACTGAGGAAAATAGAAAGAAAGAGGGGTTCTAGTGAGAAGAACAATCCAAGTACTGTGAACACACCCATTTGTACTGTGTTAAGAGTCTAAGCACAAAGTATATGCAACTGGTGCCTCTATAAACAACAGCGGAATGAAAAACATGCATCCTTCAGTGCATAGAAAAGAGGGAAATAAAGACCTGGACCAAGGATTCAAAGACTTAAATATCTACAAAGGAAACAGGTATTTGAGTGGGAACTGAAGAACAAATATTTAAGAAACTCTGGAAAAACTGCAGCAAGTGTGTTCAAGATGCTGCAGTTGCTGCTGATATATTTAAATATGCCTTTTCTAATAATTTTTTTTTAAATAGCTACAGAATAGTTAGTATCTTTGGACTGGCACAGCTCCAAATTCAGAGATGGGACATCAGTCAAGGGTAAAGCATCTTCTGCAAAACTACTAGACAAACTGCTAAAGGTTTTCACATAACCAAACATTGTTAGCTAGTTTCTTAATTTGACATAGCACTAGATTTGTCGTAACTTCCTATAAGAACAGAGAAGTTTTGGATTAGTAGTGCAGAATTGTGACAGGCTGGATCACAGAAACCCCCTGAGAGCTGTCACTTGATGTGCCAAGACTATCTCTGCTCCTGTTTTCCCTGCCAGCTCAGGACTCCAGCACCCTGTCTTGCTGAGCCAGACACTCCCGTCTGCTCCAACAAAGACCCAGGGTCCGAATTACTTGCCCCAAAGCTGCAGGTTTACCTGAAAACAGCTCACAGAAGCGTGCTTGTCTTTAGCACTCAGATGCCCAACTCCCAATGGGGTCTAAACCCAAATAAATCCATTTTACCCTGCATAAAGCTTATGCAAGGTAAACTCAAATTGTTTGCCCTCTATAACTCTGATAGAGAGAAATGCACAGTTGTTTGCTCCCCAGGTATTAATACATACTCTGAGTTAATTAATAAGTAAAAAGTGATTTTATTAAATACAGAAAGTAGGATTTAAGTGGTTCAAAGTAGTAACAGACAG